TGTGCATGACCTCATATGACCTCATTCTTGGTCATATGACCTGATCACCTGACTAGGCTGAGTAAGCAAGATGTTCTAGCAGGTTCCACCACAGAGGTATAAATATAAGGCCTACTCTGCCTGGGGACTGTCTCTTCAGACTTGGTCTCTTAGGATCATCCACAGGTACCTATACTGTAGATAGGTCTTAGTCATCAGGTCTACTCCACTTCCTTGTTGCCTGCTTAGACTCTTGGCACTCTTAGGTGAGCAGACTTAGTCAGCCTGTGTTGCCCTAACAGAACCATATCAACAGCATTGATAGAGCTTACCATGAGTGCAAACTGAGCCCAGTGATGGATGGTGAACTTGAATGGATATGTTGAGATTGCCAACTGCTCTTGCAGTATGTGTAATGGCTGGTCCAGCATACTTCTCAACTGTATATAGGGTGAACATACATCAGACCATCTTAAAACACATTGTGTATACCTTCTTCAGCATCCAGCTGTGGTGTTCTCCCAAGAGGCAAGCTACCTCCTTCTTGAGTACCTGGTGCTTGATGGTTACTTGAAACACTTCAGGATCCAATTGTAAATGTACAGCATGTTGATCAATGTGGGTCTGCCTTCATGTTAGTTTGTGATCTGCCTCAAACATTTCACATACCATCATGCTCACTGTAGCTGTTGTCACATAGCTCAGACAGCGATGGCCAAGCAAGTAAGCATAAATCTCCTTTGCAATCTTGCCCTGTGTCAGACCAAGTCAAGTCAGCAATATGAACCTCTGAAGGAGATATTAGAGTGGGGTAAGCTGCAAAGCAGCGGTGTTGTTGATAGAGTGGGGTAAGAGTGGTGAAACCACAAAGCAGTGGTGTTGTTTAAGTGTGGTTTGAGCAGCAAAGCCACCCCCTTGACATGAACTTGCCACGGGCTCTGCAGGCAGCACCCATTGTTGATTCACACTAGATGTGATTGAGGTGAGGGAGTTGCATATTGCAATACAGTTTGAGAATGTGAGAATTGCATGAACTCTAACATCCCGCTGGTTACAAGTCAGTCATAGCATGGCTGCTGTACTATTACCACTGGCATACCTCTTGTGCAAAGACCAACAGCTTGTCTGTCTGTTCTTGGGTGAGCTTGCATTTGGTGGCAATGCTCAGAGCTACAGCATTGTAATCCTTTGTGGCTGAGCCTCTTTCAACTCCTGCTTGGGTTTCATCCCACTCTTCCAGACCACCATGATGAAGACTCATAGCATTGGTTATCAATGGGAGAGGTTCACCACCTTCTACAGATGTCACAGGTGTAGTTGGGTTGTCATTGTCTTTGAACAGTATTTCCCAAAACAGCCCTTGTCTGGGCGGTACAGCCTGACCAGGTTCAGCCTGTGTTGTGGGTCTTGCCATGCAGATATACAATGTGGAGTGGATAAAGGAAGTGTATTAGGAATTTGGGGTAAGAGTGGTGAGGCTGAAGGAGGGGGTTAGATTGATGAATGGTAAGAGAGAAGAGGGAAGGCAACACATGTCCAGTCTTGCCTTTTATGATAAACAGAACACCTAAAAGGGGGGCATTGTGCAATGTGAATTTTTTCACTTGGTAACAAAAGTTTGGTCTTCTTTCCATCAGCTTCTCTTGTCATGTGCTGATTAAATGGTGAGAGACAAAATGCACATACCATAATACACAGGATTAATAATACTTCATGTACAAGTCTTGCCAGAAGTGCTGATATCAGGTGTCATTCTCTTTCCAGTTTGTAACCAGAAGTTGATGTGCTGCTTCTTGTTGAAGATCCATAGCTTGATCTTGGCTCAGTTTGATCAAGCCACAGGTTGGATGCCAGGGGATGATTGACTTTATCCATGAGGCATTGTGGAGGGAAAAACATTGAGCAGAAACTTGTCATCTTCATGGTGAGCGATGCATGTATAGGTTCCCACAGCCTCCAGTTGCTCTTGCCATCTGGGGACCTGTCTTGTACATAGCCCAGTCATGCAGTCATGCTGCACATTGACACAGCCAATGACAGACTTTTGATTGCATCAGTGGTTATTGTGTCTTGAGCCTTCTCTAATGTACCTGATCCTCTGTGAGCTTGTATTGCTGCTTGCAAATGAGCTGTGGACATGCAATCTGAGGATGTGGCAGTCCAATTGCAAAACACAGAAGTAAGACCCAGCTCAGAGGCAAGCAGGTCTGTCGGGATGCCAGTACAGTCACAATCTCCTTGATTTGGCCCAAAGCCAACTGAACTTGTTGAGCTACAAGTCCTGTCCCAATCACACATTTAGCATACCTTTGATTCTTTCTCAAACATGACAAAACTGCCAACTGCTGCCCTGTCTCCACTTTGGGTCAGGATGCTCCAAACTTGTTGCATGGTTTCCAAATACTGCTCATCATTGCTTAGGAGAGTTTGTCCTGATTTTGTTGTCTTGAATGGCATCGGCTGTGATCCCAGCATAAGCAGAGGCTGAACACCTTGGGCATTGTTAGCACTTGGCACACCAATCAAGAATGGTGCACTCACATCTCCCCTCTTTCAATGCTGGTAAACCGGTGAGCGCCTGAAGCTGAGGACACTCAGCTAATGTGGTTAGTACATCCATGCTTGCCCTGATGTATTCCTTGTGCTCTTGATCAAACCACCAGCCACCAGCCATGATATGCTTAACACAAGCAAAATGGGCAAATGCTGTTGCTATATCCCTGCTCAGTGCTTGTCAATTGCTCAGAACTGAGCATGGTTGGAAAACGCTGTTGTAGGACTTGTATTGCTTGGTAGAGAAGAGCAATGCCAGCCCATTGCAATGTATATGCTGCACTATATGGTGCAATATGTGCAGCTTGCTCTTGGACATGATCTTGATTGGGTCTATGTGTGCAAAGGCATGAACCACTGTGGCAAGATGCTTATCCAGACTCTCCTATTAGTAATGTGTCAGTAGAGCTATATACACATTGCAGGATCAGATGCACCAGATATGAGTTTGAATCCTGGATGTCTGTCTGCCATAACTGAACTGCAGCCAAGCCCAACATGACCCATGCTTCCAGAACTTCTCCATCAACAAGATCCTCAATCAAGAAGGGCATCATTTGAATAAGTAGGTGAAAATGTTTGCTGATCAGGGAGTATTTGTACTGCACAATGTATGCCAATGGTATTGATGGGATGTTCAAGCCATCCTTGCTTAGTGTGTCGATCCTCATCTGAACAAGGGCCATTGGCATACATGCCTTTGGTCGCTGGGCATGACCAGCTTTGGTATTTGGTTTCTTCTCCAGGATCTCGACTGTGTGGCCCCATAGATACTTGCAGACACCAAGCAGAAAAGTGTGAAGAAGCTCCACCAGTGGAGATTCATGAGGATCTAAGCATTGAGTGGGGTAAGAGTGGTGAAGCCAATAAGGCTGACTGTCACTCACCATCCACTGTGAATAGTGGGTTGACAGAGGGATGGCCGTCAAGTTCCATGATGGCCTTCACAATTTGTCTTCAGGGCTCTTGTTGCTTTGCTTTGCCTTGGTCACCTTGGCATGCAAAAACTTGATTGCATGCTCAGCATACCCATCTTTAACTCCCCTCTGTTGGCCAAGGAAAGCTATCACCATTGTCTTGCAAACTTGACAGGCCAGTTCTACCATCTCATGTACAGTCTTCAGAGTCATTGCTTTTGAGTGAGGACATCCTAACTGGGTGGACAGATGTTAGTGGTGTTATGGCTTAATGAATGTATAGTGTACCTTGAAGAGGGTCAAGTACATGTCAACACTCCGTTTCTCAGCTCTAGTTCTGCCTGCGTCACACATGCAGCAGTATTTATTGGCCAATCCTCCTCAGTGGCTTGGAAGTTTGCTTTGAAGAGGGTTGTTGCCAGTGAGTATACCCACCCACACATTGACCAGAATGGAGGAGCCGGTAGTGATATTGTAGGCTTTGAAGCCAGTCTGGTTGATATCCCTGCATATGTGAGTAAGCTTATGCCATGGGATGTTAGAGTGGGGTAAGAGTGGTGCTTACTTGACCATCTGCATCAACCCCTCCATTAACTCCAATGGTGAGGCATGAGGGGAGGTACAGACAAAGTTCATGTTGTACTTGTGGTTGAGGTGGGTTCTCAGAAGGGAGAGGTTAGATATGACTGCATAGTAGTGGCAATTCCATTGTTTGCTCACATTGCCCAACATGTCATCACACCATATCAGCAAAGGACAAGACATGACCATGCAACCATTGGCTCACACATGCCGAGGGTTTGGCATCTTCTTCTCTAAGTCCTTGTACATTGATGGGAACTGTAGGTGGTTTGCTCATAGGAAAGGTCTCAGTTCTAGTAGATTGTGCCTGAAGGAAGAGACAGGATGCAAAGTGTGTGTCATGGCTACGTGCAAGGAGCCCTAAGACAGGTTGATCCAGGGTGTACTCTCCAAATTGCATGACCTTACCGCACAGATTGAAACCTCTCTCCCCATAGCCCAGAGTGATTGCCCCTCATTCCCTCTTGTGAACCAGCAGTTCAGAATGAACAAAATCCCATCCTTGCACTCCAGAAGCTCATCGATGTACCAATCTTGCCCATCCAACTGAATCATTGGTGTGAGCCATGCCAAGGGGGCTGTTTCTCACCATAGCTGCCCATGCCAGAATTCTTCCAACAATGAGTCAGAGAGCTCCGGATAGAAATGCATGTATGGGTGCTTGTGTGGGTTAGTGAAATCCTTACTGACTGTCAGCAAGAGTTGAATCTCAATTAGTCCTCAATCCACCTTACCATCGCAATCATCCATCCAATGTCCAGCATGTAAAAGAGATTTCTGAGTCAAGATATGACCTGGTGCACTGGATTGCCCATTGCAAAGAGTAGTGACTGGCTTCAGGCCCACACATGCAAAGGGGAAGGGATTTCAGAGGCTCCAAGTGCCAATGCCCATACACCATGGCTTCTTACTGAGGAATAGAGAAGTGCATCCTTGGCACATGCAACAGTATATCAGAAAATAGCATCTGACATCATCAGCAAGGAATACATATGCATCAGTGCAAGCTTACTCACAGTATGCTCAGTATAAGGAAACCACTGGGAATCTCTCACTTGACCAGAAAGAAGTTGCATACAGTTAGCTATAGACCATGACCCTTGCTGTCCTAGAATATTCTTAGCTCCTTGATGTTGTATGGATGCCAGTGAACTTACTTTGATACCAGTCATGATTCTCAGCACTTTCAATGCCTGCATCTTTGACCTTGTCCAGGTATGAATTGTCCCTCTCCATCTGGAGCTCCTCCATGGTCACAATATCATCTGTGTCCTCATGCACAAGGTCAAATACAACAGGTTGTCTGTGCTTGTCAAAGAAGGGAGCCAGCTCATACTCTACAAGGTTGGTCAGTGAGTTCTGTGAGGGGCTTGACCATCCATGGGTAACCTTGATGCCCTGCTTAGATGTTGCACATCTAAGTGGGACAGGCCTTTTGGCCCAAGCCAGATTAGCACTCACATAGTGGATGTGTTTTGCTGTCACAGCATGCTGTATGAGGTGTCAAATCAGTGACCAATGTTTGGGTGGGTGGTCATGACAGACCACACACTGCCCTGACCACCCATCAGAGCTGAGTGTGAACTCTGATACATATTTGTTAGTGACCTTGGTGCCATGACCAGTTGAGGCTGTCACTTACCTGCAGGATCTAAATGGGTATGTCTGTGGGCTGGCATGGGCAGCCTAACCACTCTTACCCCACAGAGCAACAGAATGATGAAAGAGTTGTACTGGAAACATGTAATACAAGGGCTGAAGAGCATGGTGACAGTGAGCAGGGTGGATGAACACATGGCGGCATTTAGCAATAAGGGTGCGGGTGTAGGGATTACAAGCTGTCCTTGCTGGCCACAATGACAGTGATGACAACCCACCAGCATTCACTCTGCTGAACATTATATGTGACTTTACAAATTCCACATGCCCTCCTTGAAGCTGCCAAACCTCTTGTTAGTGATCAGTAAGGTCATAATCCACATAAGCTCACTTTGCTGTTGTAGCATGTTGTGCTTGAGGTGCTGTCACCTGAGGGTAATGTCTCCAACATGGGCAGGCCAATAGCAAATTCTTTGGCTGTCCAAACATCTGACATGATTGCTAAGCCTCTTGGTGTATTGGTTCATTTGTCACAAGAGACAGATCCCTGCAACTGGGTAGAGTTCAATGAAGGTGGCCTCCACAGGAATGTAAGTTGCATAATCATGGAAACAGGAAGGCCATTCTCACCTCTTGGGGCAGCTGCATACACCACTGCAGTACCCCACATACGGAGGTGTCAGGGGACATCTAATTTGCTTTGACTACAGCTTACTCAGGCATGATTACTCATGCTGCATCAACCTGACACTGGCTATGCCAATGCCATGTGGCCTGTGGCCTGGCTGTGGTAGGACCATGTGGCATTGCACAGCATGACAGCCGATGACTAGCCACCAGCCAGTGACTCATAGTGACAAGGCCTATGACTTGCCATGACTGGCCAGAGATGACTGGCCATGACTCACTATGACTAGACATTTTCCTCCTTCTCTTTAGTATAAATACCCACCTGTTTAGACAATGATATCCTCATATCTGGTCTCTGAGGAATCTCCACTGTACTTTGATAGGGATAGTACTCTGCAGAATATACCTCTGTCACCTCATCAATGCCTTATCCCACCTCTTGATAATAACTTCCTCTCTCCACTTGACTTCAATCTCTACTACATCTGGGCAGCCTCTGTCAATTATAGTGTGCCCTCACAGAAGACCAGATCTCTCTCAAGATGACTCTGCCCTTTCAGGACAAACTCTGACATTGTACACAAGTGTACAATCTCTCAGTGTCCCTACTGTCAACTACTGTCAACATCCTTGGACCCATAACTGTCAACAGTGTTCTTAACAATCACCTCAAGGCTTGGTCATTGTTAACAACCTTATGATCATAACTATGGCTCCAAACAACCCCGATATCACCACACCCAAAGATGGAACAATGCCTGCCCAGGCTCTTCCCTCAAACTCCACCAACAATTCCAAAATCAACCTAGCTCTCCTTGTTGGGCAACTGCAAGGACAACTTGCAGCTCTGTCTGAATGCAAGCACATTCCCAAAGGACCAAAGGTTGCAACACCTGATACCTTCAATGGTGATTGCAGCAAGGCCAAGACATTTCTTCACCAACTGCAGATCTACTTCAAGGCTTGAGCTCATGAATTCACCAATGAACAGGAGGCTATTGTCTTTGCTCTCTCATACATGAAAGAAGGCACTGCTGGCTCATGGGCTGATTGAATGATTGACCACATGACAAGAATGCCGGAGGACCCCTTGTTCAATGATTGGAAACTCTTCCATGCCACATTTGAAAGAGCCTTCAGCAATCCAGACCAAAGTGGTACTGCTCATGCGAAACTGGAGCAGCTCTCCCAAGGAAACAAGACAGCCAATGAGTACATTGCCATGTTCAGGGAGCTGGCTGAGTACACAAACTACAATGATATTGCACACATTGAGAAGTTTGAGCAAGGCCTCAACCATGATCTTGTTGACAAGATCTACTCTCTTGCTGAAATGCCTGAAGACTTGGAAGGATGGTATTGTTATGCCTCTCACTTTGACCATCAGCGAAGAAAGCTCAAGGCAAGGCATGCTGCACCTTTCAACTGTACTCCAGAGAATCACACATTCTCTCAACCAGCCTTCACCCCAATGCCATGTGTGGCTACAGTTCCTGCAATTACTGCACCCACAAAGCCAAGTGATGCAATGGATATTGACATGAACAACAGATCAAGACCACATTTGTGATGCTACAACTGCAACCAGTTGGGTCACATGGCTCACAACTGCCCTAACCCTTGCCAAGCCCACATTTGTGCTGTTCAAGCTGAAGACATGCAAAGCATTCAAGAGGAACTCAAGAAGCTTCTGCCTATGTCAACTAGCACTCAAGATGATGGCACAAAGGCCAAGGAGGATTTTTGAGGAGGCCAACTGTCAAAGACACATGTCAGTTGTTGTTAGGGCAACACAGGCTGACTAAGTCTGCTCACCTAAGAGTGCCAAGAGTCTAAGCAGGCAACAAGGAAGTGGAGTAGACCTGATGACTAAGACCTATCTACAGTATAGGTACCTGTGGATGATCCTAAGAGACCAAGTCTGAAGAGACAGTCCCCAGGCAGAGTAGGCCTTATATTTATACCTCTGTGGTGGAACCTGCTAGAACATCTTGCTTACTCAGCCTGGTCAGGTGATCAGGTCATATG